CTGGTGGGCTACAGTCCATGGGGTCGCAAAGACGGACACGACTGAGCGACTAACCACAGCACATGAGACAAACGGTGAAGAGGTATAAAGTGAAGTCGCTCAGTTGTGTCCGACTCTTTGCGACCCCATGGACTGTAGCTCACCAGGCTCCTCGGTCCATGGAATTCTCCAGACAAGAATACTGGAGTGTGTTGCCATTTCCTTCTCCAGGGGATCTTCCTGACCCAGGGATTGAACCCGGGTCTCCTGCGTTGTAGGCAGGCACTTTACCAGGGAAGCCTGTGAAGAGGTATAGAAGAAAGTTAGAAGCCCCTTCCCATCAATCACTCCTGAATTACCCAACATGCACAGCATGTATGTACTTTGGACACTCCAAAAACAGGGGCTCCAAATGTTTATGAAAAAATGTTATAATTGATATTTTAGAAGAAGCATTGGAAAAGTGATTATGAGAAAATCAGAAACTTTGGACTTGTTTATATTTGTTTTGTGTATTATTTTATTAAATTTTATAGATAAGTTGGAGGAGGACAAATACATACAAATAATGCATGTTTGCCAAGACTACATTCTATTTAAGATGTATATGCATATGTACTTTTACATACTTCTCATTGTAAAGTTGTTTTTCATCTTAAAGTTTCACATTTATTTAGTAAATGCTTCTATGTTCATACAGAGATATTATACATATGTAATCATTGCATTCTATTCCATTGTACTAATAAACCACCTTCCTTGTTCATTTTTCCACTGTTAATATTTTCTAAATTTCCCACTGTTATTAAGTATTTATTTAGTATTTAAATAATTATTTACATTTCTACATAGAGCTATTTTCTTTTTCAAAAATAATTTTCTTCAGATAAATCACTGGAGTGATATTGTTATACTAAAACTTATTAATATTCACACAACTGTTCTATGAAAAAATAGCTCACCCAAAGGATTTTAATATTCTCAAGGGTAGATTGTATGCATTCTGCATTTAGAGGTGGTTTGGAGCATGATCTTTTTTTGGGGGGGGGGTGTTAGTTCTAAAAGGTCTTGTAGGTCTTCATAGAACCATTCAACTTCAGCTTCTTCAGCATTACTGGTTGGGACATAGTCTTGGAGTACCATGATATTGAATGGTTTGCCTTGGAAACAAACAGAGATCATTCTGTCGTTTTTGAGATTGCATCCAAGTACTGCATTTCAGACTCTTTTGTTGACCATGATGGCTACTCCATTTCGTTTAAGGGATTCCTGCCCACAGTAGTAGATATAATGGTCATCTGAGTTAAATTCATCCATTCCTGTCCACTTTAGTTTGCTGATTCCTAGAATATCGACATTCACTCTTGCCATCTCCTGTTTGACCACTTCCAATTTGCCTTGATTCATGGACCTAACATTCCAGGTTCCTATTCAATATTGCTCTTTACAGCATCAGACCTTGCTTCTATCACCACTCCCATCCACAACAGGGTCTTGTTTTGGCTTTGGCTCCATCCCTTCATTCTTTCTGGAGTTATTTCTCCACTGATCTCCAGTAGTATATTGGGCACCTACTAACCTGGGGAGTTCCTCTTTCAGTATTCTATCATTTTGCCTTCTCATACTGTTCATGGGGTTCTCAAGGCAAGAATACTGAAGTGGTTTGCCATTCCCTTCTCCAGTGGACCACATTCTGTCAGACCTCTCCACCATGACCCGTCCGTCTTGGGTGGCCCCACATGGCATGGCTTAGTTTCATTGAGTTAGACAAGACTGTGGTCTGTGTGATCAGATTGGCTAGTTGTCTGTAATTGTGGTTTCAGTCTGTCTGACCTCTGATGGCCTCTCGCAACACCTACCATCTTACTTGGGTTTCTCTTACCTTGGACGAGGGGTATCTCCTCATGGCTGCCCCTCCTGGCCTTGAATGTGGAATAACAGGCAACTTTGGCTTTGGAGTACAGAATGAAACAGGGCAAAGGCTAATAGAGTTTTGCCAAGAGAATGCACTGGTCATAGCAAACACCCTCTTCCAACAACACAAGAGAAGACTCTACACATGGACATCACCAGATGGTCAACACCAAAATCAGACTGATTATATTCTTTGCAGCCAAAGATGGAGAAGCTCCATATAGTCAGCAAAAACAAGACTGGGAGCTGACTGTGGCTCAGATCATGACCTCCTTATTGCCAAATTCAGACTTAAATTGAAGAAAGTAGGGAAAACCACTAGACCATTCAGGTATGACCTAAGTCAAATCCCTTATGGATATACAGTGGAAGTGAGAAATTGATTTAAGGGACTAGATCTGATAGACAGAGTACCTGATGAACTATGGACTGAGGTTCATGACATTGTAGAGGAGACAGGGATCAAGATCATCCCCATGGAAAAGAAGTGCAAAAAGGCAAAACGGTTGTCTAAGAATGCCTTACAAATAGCTGTGAAAAGAAGAGAAGTGAAAAGCAAAGGAGAAAAGGAAAGATATTCCCATTTGAATGCAGAGTTCCAAAGAATAGCAGGGAGAGATAAGAAGGCCTTCCTCAGTGATCAATGCAAAGAAATAGAGGAAAACTACAGAATGGGAAAGACTAGAGATTTCTTCAAGAAAATTAGAGATACCAAGGGAACATTTCATGCAAAGATGGGCAAAGTAAAGGACAGAAATGGTATGGACCTAATAGAAGCAGAAGATATTAGGAAGAGGTGGCAATAATACATAGAAGAACTGTACAAAACGATCTTCATGACCCAGATAATCACGATGGTGTGATCACCCACCTAGAGCCAGACATCCTGGAATGTGAAGTCAAGTGGCCCTTAGAAAACATCATGACGAACAAAGCTAGTGGAGGCGATGGAATTCCAGTTGTGCTATTTCAAATCCTGAAAGATGATGCTGTGAAAGTGCTGCACTCAATATGCCAGCAAATTTGGAAAACTCGGCAGTGGCCACAGGACTGGAAAAGGTCAGTTTTTATTCCAATCCCAAAGAAAGGCAATCCCAAAGAATGCTCAATCTACCACACAATTGCTCTCATCTCACATGCTAGTAAAGTAATGCTCAAAATTCTCCAAGCCAGGCTTCAGCAATATGTGAACCGAGAACTTCCAGATGTTCAAGCTGGTTTTAGAAAAGGCAGAGGAACCAGAGATCAAATTGCCAACATCCGCTGGATCATCAAAAAAGCAAGAGAGTTCCAGAAAAACATCTCTTTCTGATTTATTGACTATGCCAAAGCCTTTGACTGTGTGGATCACAATAAACTGTGGAAAATTCTGAAAGAGCTGGGCATACCAGACCACCTGATCTGCCTCTTGAGAAACCTATATGTAGGTCAGGAAGCAACAGTTAGAACTGGACAGGGAACAACAGACTGGTTCCAAATAGGGAAAGGAGTACATCAAGGCTGTATATTGTCACCCTGTTTATTTAACTTCTATGCAGAGTTCATTATGAGAAACACTGGGCTGGAAGCAGCACAGTCTGGAATCAAGATTGCTGGGAGAAATATCGATAACCTCAGATATGCAGATGACACCACCCTTATGGCAGGAAGTGAAGAGGAACTAAAAGGCCTCTTGATGAAAGTGAAAGAAGAGAGTGAAAAAGTTGGCTTAAAGCTCAACATTCAGAAAACTAAGACAATGGCATCTGATCCCATCACTTCATGGGAAATAGATGGGGAAACAGTAGAAACAGTGTCAGACTTGATTTTGGGGGGCTCCAAAATCACTGCAGATGGTGATTGCAGCCAAGAAATGAAAAGATGCTTACTCCTTGGAAGGAAAGTTATGACCAACATAGATAGCATATTAAAAAGCAGAGACATTCCTTTGTCAACAAAGGTCCATCTATTCAAGGCTATGGTTTTTCCAGTGGTCATGTATGGATGTGAGAGTTGGACTGTAAAGAAAGCTGAACGCTGAAGAATTGATGCTTTTGAACTGTGGTGTTGGAGAAGACTCTTGAGAGTCCCTTGAACTGCAAGGAGATCCAACCAGTCCATCCTACAGGAGATCAGTCTTGGGTGTTCACTGATAGGACATGCTGAAGCTGAAACTCCAATACTTGGCCACCTCATGCGACGAGTTGACTCATTGGAAAAGACCCTAATGCTGGGAGGGATTGGGGGCAGGAGGAGAAGGGGACGACAGAGGATGAGCTGGCTGGATGGCACCACCAACTTGATGGATATGAGTTTGAGTACACTCCAGGAGTTGGTGATGGACAGGGAGGCCTGGCGTGCTGTGATTCATGGGGTCACAAAGCGTCGGACATGACTGAGCGACTGAACTGAACTGAACTGATGGTTTTTAATGGTCAATAAAAGGTACCACATATCTAGTCTTAGGAAACAAAATATTTATTGAAGTGGTATGTAGATAAATTATCATCGGCATAAAACTGTTAGTGGAGTTTTCAGCATGGGTTCTTTTTACTCTTAAAATGAAGTGAGGCTTTGCAAGTCCATTGTCCCATAGGAAAAACATTATCTTTTTCTTTTCAGATAAAGTTCTTTAAAAAAGTAAATCACTTTTGAAATGGTCTTTTATACGTCTCCAGCCTATGATCAAAACAAAAAATATATTAAAAAGATATAATTATCTCCATTAAAAAAGAATAACCAATTAGGAATGATTTAGAGGTAATGAAAGACATTTGAATTCCTAAAGTCTGCTCCTGTTATATTAGTATATACTAATCTATTTTTAAAATAATTTAACAAATCACCAAGACACAATTATGTGTGATCATTTTACCACAATGAATTTATTATATATTTAGTAAATAAGCTAAAATATTATCTCATCAAATAAACAAATTTATAATAACTCTGTGTTTAGTAACTTGGGAACACAGTCCAAAATGAGTTTTAATTGCCATTCAGGGCTAAATATCCTTAAAGAAAGACTTAAAATTAATAAATACAGTAAGAAAAAATGAGAAGAAAATTTCAGGAAAGTTTCTGAAACTCTGTGGGTTAACAGAACAAGCAGCTCAGGGCAAAATGACTTAGTCATATTCTATTTCAACGTGATGTTCTGCTCCGACCTGTTTGGCTCCGCCCAGATGGTGCTGCTGTCCTTCTCCGATAGCAAGCCTGTTAAATGGGATTATCTTCATGGTGGTTTTCTTCATTGAATACCACCGGGATTTCCAGGTGGCCCAAATAATGCCATTATCATAACCATTAGGAGTAGATGTTTTTGAGTAAGTGCCGCCTGAAACAAACCATAGATCTGCGCATCACCACTCCTGAATCTCCTGCCCTCAGAAAGTCCATGAAGAGCTGTCTATTACGAGGTCCACTCTCGTTTACATCAGATTTATAGTGCTAGCTACTAACTGAAAATATCCGTGGAGACTCAAATTCTCGATTTACTATCGGCATAAAATGATTATTAAACAAACTTTACACCTGTGTTGTGTTTTCTGGCCACACTCATAATTTAAATGAATTCACTGCTAACAGGGCTGACGTGAAGTGAAGTCGCTCAGTCGTGTCCGACTCTTTGCGACCCCGTGGACTGTAGCCTACCAGGCTTCTCCGCCCATGGGATTTTCCAGGCAAGAATACTGGAGTGGGTTGCCATTTCCTTCTCCAGGGGATCTTCCCGACCCAGGGACTGAACCCAGGTCTCCCGCATTGTAGACAGACGCTTTACCGTCTGAACCATCAGGGAAGTCACTCACAGGGCTAGAGCCCTGCATTTCCCTAAGTGGTCTCTCTCCTTAAGCTAAGTCATGCTGGATTCTGCTGTTATGGACCCTCTTCCTGAAAAGGTTAGAATGGCAGTCATAATTCCTCATTAGTCAGATTCAGGTCACCTGAAAGCACAATTTTACTGGAAAATATTGGGCTTCCCAGGTGACACCATGGTAAAGATCCTGCCTGCCAATGCAGAAGACATAAGAGATTTGGGTTTGATCTCTGCATCAGGAAGATCCCCTGGAGGAGGCCATGGCAACACACTCCAGTATCCTTGCCTGGGCACCTTCCTTGAGAACTTTTTCTAATTACATGGTTTGTTGGTGCAAAGATAAGTTAGGTTTTGAAAACATGTGAAAACCGAAAGGTAAATGTATGTAGTTTTAAGAGGATTCCAAATCACCTCTTGGCTACGATTGCTCATTTAATGGGTAAGGACTTCCCCATGCATACCTGCTGGAGAATTCCGATACTCTGTTAGTAATCAAAACCAGTGCTCAGAACTACTCCAGCCTCAGAGCAAACTATAGCTTGCCCTCCCCCTGTGCTAAAATAAGTATCTACACTCCTCAGGCTGGATTTTTCTCAAACTTTCATGGACCTGTAGACCCACCAATATATCCCTGCCCTTCACTTAATTCCTCTAGACACTGCTCACTGATTCTATCTGACACCAGCTCATGGGAAGCTGAGCCAGGCTTTTGTGTTAACAGTATAGACATGGCAATGTTAGTCCATCCAGATAACATATAGGGTAAGACTAGAGGAGACACCGTAGCCCAAAGTATCAACCTTGATGGAAGCATCATGAATATCACTGCATAGTTTGCAGCAGGTGGATTTCCTGTAGAGGGCCAAATTCAGGTATAAGCTAGAATTATCCAGTTCTGGCTTAAAATAAAGGACTGTATAGCAAGCTCCCAATATCTTTACTAATTATTTCTTACTCATATTTATTTACTTTTATAAAAGTATAGATCATACATACATTCATGTATTAAGAAAGAAAGCCATACCTTGATAATAAACTCCATTGAGGTGGCCAGCATGACATTTGTTCATCCACCAACCCGATCCATCCTGTTCAGCACAGTTGCCGTCATACTTATCGTTGTCACTGTCCCAGGTACTGAACTGCATGCCATTATGGGATGTGAAAAACTTGTCGCTAGAGTCATCCCCAAAATCATAGCCATCAAATGCATCTCCAGCATCTCCACCGATGAAGTAAGCATACGTCAGGCGGTATTTGTCATTTTCACCTGTTAACTTGAATGAAGCATAGTCTGCAGTGCTGCAAAGAAGGGAATAGAGATCTTAGACCCTGAGCCTTATAAGTCATCTCAGAAGTTCCTTCTTTCATAGGACAATTGTTAGGACTTTTAAACTTTGCTTCATAAGTCTGAAATGTGTTTACTGAACAAAATTTTTCACAAATCTGGCATGGGATAACAGGTGTGGGTAACATTCTCAAGGTCATCAGCACCACCCAGGATGGGTCTAGAAGCTTTCAGGACATCCAAGGGAAAACTAAAAACTTCAGCTATCCTGAATGCTCTTTGCCTATAGTATCCTAATATCTAACCCAGATATATTGATGAACCTAATTTCACATTTTCCACTTTTATCTCAGTATGTAGCATACACACACAGTTCTCATAAACCACACTAATTATCTGAAAGTGAGTGACTATTAATTAATGCAGCAAGCTGAAAGGAGCTCTAGGTCCACTAGTCACTCATACCATCTAAAGGCTGAAGTCCCTTTAGGGTTTTTTCTTTCTGAAGGAAGTGTGGGAGTGGCAAGGAGAGTTTCCTTGAGCATCACATAAAAGAAGTGACTCCTGCGTGGCCCACAAAACATGAACTGTAGGGTCAGAGAGAGATTCTCCCCTGGAAAATAATCATAAATGAAAGCCAGAATTCTATGGAGTGCAGGGGAAAATGGGCCTTGGTGCATAAACAGAGATTTCCAGAAAACACTGAACTTCCCTGATCTCCAGGACTTAAGAAATGGGAGATGTTCTCATGGGAGAAGGTCTACTGACTATGGAATTATACTCTCTGGTTAAAAATTTTAAAAATACACATTTGGGCACAGACTATACTTCATCATGTCATAGACATAACAAGAGGGTTGGATATTGTTTTCAATTTCAATGAGGTATACAACATTTAAAGTGCCCAGACAGCTCTCTGCATAGAAGGAACTCTAGCTCACCAAAGGTGCCAGCTGATTTCATTTTAAGGTAGCTCCTGGATTTGATTGACTGGACTTGATTCCCAGTCATTAAACACTGAGAAATCTGAAAAAGCTAGATTACTTTCCATCTAGGATAGCAGCTAAGAAGGTGGGTTATAAGAGGTAAACTACCTGACTTTAAATCCAATGGATGCAACCTTGGAAAAGTTAATCTGTAAAATGTAATTTTACATTTTACAGTAATTCATGCCTCATGAGCTATTTGGATTTAAGTTATAATTTCATGTGCAATTTATGGTACATAAATGCTCGGGAGATATTAGCTATTGTTTTGTATGATTCCAGGGTAAGTGGATTATACCAAAACACTCAGATCCTGCCTGAATGGGACCTAGTTCCTTGGAGTGCCCAAGAGCCAAACTGACTTCTGGGGAACATAGTTGAATGTGCTCTTCATATCTGTCAGACTGTTTTCCACATTATTCTGCTGAGAGCTAGCAAGTGCATACGCCAGGGTGTCTCTATAACCAAAGTCAGAAGTCCTTCTTGATAGTACCTGGTTCTGCCATTCCAGTCCTCCAACTGTATTCTTAATACATAAGGGATGGTAGACTGTGTGCTTATCAAATGAATCTTCTCATTTCCCAGCCAAAATTCTGTGTTTCCAGTTGGAGACAGATGTCCAAACCCTTCTTTATATTGAATCCAGTTTTTCTTGAAATCCACACTGCCGTCAAGCCTCTAATTACACAATTGCACAGGCAAAAGGAGAGAATGTATTATCGGTGCACATAAGGAAAATGTTACAGCCATTTTGGCCAAAATATGGAGGCTATGATTTCATCAATTACCAAGTGACCCTGGGCTAGCTATCTGTCTCTTAAATAGGAATAATGATGCTTACTTCTCAGGAATGTTTCAGGGATTACACCAGAGAATGTAAACGTACTTAGAAGAGGGCCTGGCGCATGATACATTGTAACCTACTAGTAGTTTTGAAAAGACTCCTAGAGGACTTCAGAACATCAGCTTGATGTTGCTGATTCTTGTACTGACGGTGGAAAGGTCAGCCTATTGCTCAACCTGTGTCTACCAGCTAAGCTCCCATCACTCACTTGCTCTGAGTGCCCCCTGCAGCCTTAGCTGTAGCAACGGTCAAAGGTAAGCAGAATGTAAGGGGATTTGCGGTGGATGCCTGGGGCTGGCAAAGCCTGCAGAGGGGCCTGGTCGTGGGACAGCCTGACTGCATCCTCTGGGGGACACCATCTTCTTGCGATGGGCAGCCCTGGGTCTTGATGTCAAAGTCGAGAGGTCCCTCTGTCACTGTGAGATTGTGATCATGTGCCATCATGAATGTACACAGCAGGGCCAGCGTAGTAGAGAACCTATCTCAGTACAGAGTGAAATCAGACTATATTCTGACTCTGTTACTTAGTCACGTGACCTTGGGCAAGCTATTTGGCCTCTTGTGCCTAAGTTCCCTTCTCTGTAAACAGGAATAAGCGGGCCAAAACTACCACAGAGGAAAGTTGTGAATGTTATTGAATTAATGCCTACAAGGTGCTTGGAAAAGTGTCTGGCATATGGCAGAACAATCAGGTGTCTATTAAATACACAGGGTGAGGGAAAAATACCTTCTGAAACACAGTCCATCCATTTCCAGACCCATCGATTTCACAGTAGACTAAGAACTGCTGCTTAGCTTTCAGAGGTCTGATAAAGTAAAGCCCACTCTCTTTGGCCCCCTTATTAGCAACCTCTTGGCAGTCTGAAAAAGAAGAAATTTTTATGGTGGTTTGAAACCCAGGTAAGATTGTGTCGGCCTTGAAAATGAAAATTTTAACATGTCAGAAACTATTCATTTCCTGAGAAGTATTTTCTTATTTCTCAATCATTATTCCTTTCAAAGTAAATTTTCAGCTACTCAAGAAAAGTCTAAGCAATTAGGCTGTTTATATTTAATGGCTAGACACTGTCCAATGTATTTGTATATATTCTAATACATACAATCTCCTTTACTTTTTATATCTGCTCTGATGAACTTAATCTCATTATAAACCTTTCACTTACCTCTCCCAGTTACATCATGTATTTTCACTGTATCTTGACAAGGCTCTTGACAGTTTGCTTCAAGCTGGACCACTTTCTGTTTTAGGTTATTGATTTTTTGATTATTTGAGTTATACATTTCCTGCAAAAATCTACAAGCAAAATAATAAGATAACAGATTATTCTTTTCAGATGAATAATGTTGTTTTAAAACATTTTTAAAATGTTTTAAAAATACCACCTTATTTTCTCAAGAATTATTTCCTGACAAATTACTCCATTCTTGGAAAAAGTTTAAAATGATATTAATAAAGTGAGGTGAATGAAAATTCTAAGCTTTTTTGGAAAAGAAAATAACAAAGTCCTTGCCAATAAATCATATCACTGTAAGTGGTCATTCTGATTTTCGTTTCTGCATAAAAGGCAACAGATAATAAAGTACACAAGTGATGAGCCTGATAAAGACGACCTGGCGATTATTCTTGAAACAATATTTTTAGGGAAGGAAAAGCTCTGTTTAGAAGTTCACACATGCTAAAGCATTATTCCTTTTCACTTGTGGATTTAACTGAAGATCTATTTATGGACTTTAGTCTATAACTTACATGAGAAAAGTATCTGGGGTATTATCTTACATAAAATAAAACAACAGATATTTTCCCTTTCTTCTTAATGTTTCTGTTTACACAACTTCAGAAAAAAGCTGGGGAAAGTGAAAAATCCTGCTTTTGTAGCTTCTCACAGGACAACCTGTTCATATTCAGAAATGATAGAAAACTATTATGCACATAGACTGTTGTCTCTGAGGTTCTGGATAGACAGACTATTTGACCACTTTTTTCTCTACTGCACCTTGGACATTTTCTGCGCTATAGTCTCCCTTCAGTCTCAACGATGGGCAATAATAATGCAAATCATAATGCCAATAATAATGACAATAACGATAATAATAGTATCCCTCTGCTACCAAAAAGAGGATAAATCACTTCTGGGCCACTTCTCCTCAGCCACCATTTATCTCAATTTCTTATGCTACTTTTAGAACAACTTAGGATAAAAATTGAGGAAGAAACTAAAATTGCGTCTGAGACCCAATGTTCAGAAAGCCTACAAGTTCCTGGGAAGTTGTTAACAGAGACATTTTACTTTCAAGAGAAGGGAGGTTCTGTGCAACAGGCAGCTTTACAATGTTTATCACACAAACTTGTCTCTTAAGGCAAGTTTTTTTTTCTGCTCTACCTTTCAGTGTCATTTACCAAGATCATTCCTATGTTTCTGCTCACAAATTCCTCGCCACCCATTTGTTGACACTTTTATAAAAAGAATTTTATTTTCAACACTCAAATTTCCATCAGTTTGAATTTATGTGGAAAGCAAACTAAAACAAAAAATGCTTACCGAATTGTTGATTCATGTGTTGCTATCAATGTTTCATATTTCATAATTTCTTCCATCATTCTCTTGGAATTCTTGGTAGCACTCTCTATGTTATCTGTAATATGGGATCAGAGATATAAAAATACATAAGCAAACAGAACCACTGAAATAACAGCAAAAGAACTTCATAGATGACTTTCTCAGGCAGTGGTGGTTAGATTCTCACTTGGCTTTGATGGTTCATCAGGGTTATAGCTGATTTGGATTGCTTTGACCAGCTCTCTGGCTTCTGATGTTTTGTTCTCAACCTGATATAAGATGCCTTCCAAATTTTGTAGATCCTTGTCTACACTGGTTTGGTAATTAGACAGGAAATCTGCAACTCCACAGGTAGTTGGGCAATAACTACCCTGAAAATACAACAATAGTGTGATTAAAAATTCTGATAAAAAGCTACATGAGATCTATTAATAAAAACAGGTAAAACCTAGACTATGTTTTTAAAAAGTCTAAAGTGCCAAAAGATATTTGCTAAAGAATCTCTTATAAGGAATAAAACTTCCTCTGCCCACGTCCAGTTCAAACACAGAGAGAAACATAAAAGCGACTTACAAATCTTTCATCTAAGATGCAGCAGTTGTCTCGGGTAGCAACATACTAGAGAAGGAAAATACAGAAATTTCACTTGCATATCGGATATTTTCTTATTTTTAAGCTTTCCATTTGAAACAAATAACATTTTGTAAACAGCACACTTACTGCCAGGCATGGTGAAGAGAGCAATGAAAGAATGTAGAAGTAGATTACACTCGGAAGGTGCGAGGACCAACTCATGGCGTCGGCGGGCCCCGGGCTCCGAGCCTGGAAGGTCAGAACTGTGACTCTCGGGGCTCGAATCGTCCCTTTATTTAAGCTCCAAGGACGGTAGGACCGCCAGTGGCTGAAGCCGATCACGGGGCCTTCTTACCAGAAGGGCGGAACATCTTTCCCGTCTCTTCCTCATCCTGGCCCCGGACCAATGTTCAGTCGGGTTCCCAGATTCTGCACACAGGGCTAAGCTCCTCCTTGCTGGCCCAGCTCAATGCGCCTCCTGGGAAGCCAACTCTCTGCAAAGGCTAGTGAAGCATTGACCAACGCTAGGAGGAGGGAGGGGGCCGGGAGGCTGCGTGATGCAACCACTTCCAGGACAGACAGAGCAAACACACCCACCGCTGACCTCGGCCAGAGCAAACTGCCCCTGCCTTCAGATGAAGTCTGGTACCATAACCCAAATACCCCGAATTATCGTAAGTCAATTCTGAGACGAGGGGATGAGTGAACACCAGTATTTTTAACCTGTGCGAATGTCAGGTGGAAACTTTGCCTTCCACTAGGTCTGAATATGTCACTCTTACCAGGAATGAATGCCTGACCCACCGCTTTGGCTATTTTCCTTTTTCAAAAATTGAAATATGATTACTACATAGCATTATATTAGTTTCAACTGTACAAAATAATAATTTGATATTTCTATATATTACAAAATGATCATCACTATATAGTTAGCATCGGTCAGCACACATAGTTGCAAAAAACTTTTTTTTCTTGCGATGAGAACTTTAAAGACCTACCCTCTTAGCAACTTTCAAATATGCAATACAATACTCTTAACCATAATCACCATGCTGTACATTACATCCCCAGGACTGACTGACTTTATAGCTTGAAGTCTGCGTCTTTTGACACCCTTCACTCAGCTGTTGATTATTTTCGTAGACTCTCAGTTTGCCGTGGGATTTTTACATTTTTTTTCCAGATGGTAGCCTGAGGACACATGCCCCCTTCATTTATTTTATTTTGTTAACCAGTTAAGCATTTTTATCACTGATGGGCTGCTCTGGGTCTTTTGTCTGGTTGCAGTGAGCAAGGTGCACTACTCTAGCTGTGGTGCACGGGCTTGGTAGGTGCGGTCCCCAGGCTCTGGAGCGCAGCCTCAGTACTTGTGGGCACAGGCATAGTTGCTCCAAAGCACGTGGGATCCTCCCGGACCAGGAACAGAACCTACCTCTGCTGCGCTGGAAGGTGGATTCTTTACCACCGACCACCAGGGAAGCCTTTTTTTTTTTTTAGTATAATTTACAGTGTTGTGTTAGTTTCAGGTGTGAAAGTGATTCAGTTATATATATACATATATGTAATTTAAAAATAATTGAAAATGTATCTATACGTATGTATTCATGTTCAGATTCTTTTCCATTATAGGTTGATATAAGATATTGAATATAGCTCCCTGTCCTATGCTATAAACCTTGGTTGGCTATCTATTTTATAAATAGTAATGTGTATGTATTAGTCCCAAACTCCAAATTTATTTCTCCCCCTCCTCCATCCCCTTTAGAAACCATAAATTTGTTTTCTATATTTGTGAATCTATTTTTGTTTTGTACATAAGTTCATTTGAATCATTTTTTTTATTCTGCATAAAGTGGTATCATATGATATGTGTCTTTCAAACTTACTTCACTTAGTATAATAATCTCTAGACATTATTTCACTTTTTATGGCTGAGTAGTATTCCATTGTGTATATATACCACATCTTTATCCATTCGCCTGTTGATGGACAGTTTGACTGTTTTCATGTCTTGGCTATTATAAATAGTGTTGCTGTGAACAGGGGTGCATGTATCTTTTCATATTGTGGTTTTCTCCAAATATATGCTCAGGAGTGGCATATATTTACATTCCCACCAACAGTGCAGTGAGATTTTGAGCTCAGCCCCTCCCTTTGTCTACAAGTATCAGCTGGTGTAGCACCATGCCTGCCTCAGATGGGAAACAAGTCAGGAACCTATTGTGTTTTTCCTGAGGTTCCATCTAGTTACTTCAGAGCAAAGCCTGGCTACAGGAGGCAGGGACCATGTGTCCCTTATATTGACTAGGAGCATAACTGGAGGAAAGGGGGCAAAAACTAGGCAGGAGCTGTCCTTTTCACTCTGACCCTCAAGTTTCCTTGTGTATTGGGAAGTATGTTTATTATCATCTCCAATTAATAATTTATAATAATGTACTATCATTATCCCTCCTTCTAATATCCTTCGTTTCATTCTCTGAAAACAGCTTACTGCAAATTTTTATTATATATTTAGTGGGAGAAATACATCTAAATTGAGATAAATACTAATACTTCAATGTCTAATCCTAAATCTTTACAAAGAAATAATTGTTTTGACTTGAAACAAAGATAAATATTCCTACTCGGTAAATAATAATTATTCTAACAAAATGAATACATTAAAACCAGATTTGTTGCCTTTTCTTTCCTCCTTAATAGTTACCCTCTCTGATTTACCAATCGTTGCCAATCACATCACCAAACATCAGTCAATTAAAGCCACAGTCTTCTTCAACCTCCTCGTTTATTCATCTTATCAGTTGTTGAAGCTTATTATTAAAACTGCTTTCTCATTGTCACTTCTGTTTTATTGCTCTTTTCTATTTCCATTGCCAATATCTTAAGAGGGACAGTTTATTTCTTGTCTAGACTGCAGATAGATGGGAAACGATGGAAACAGTGAGAGACTTTATTTTCTTGGGCTCCAAAATCACTGCAGATGGTGACTGCAGCTGTGAAATTAAAAGACGCTTGCTCCTTGAAAAAAAAAAAAAAGGTTATGACCAACCTAGACAGCATATTAAAAAATAGAGACATTACTTTGCTGACAAAGGTCCATCTAGTCAAAGTTATGGTTTTTTCGGTAGTCATGTATGGATGTGAGAGTTGAACTATAAAGAAAGTTGAGCACCAAAAAATTGATGCTTATAAACTCTGGTGTTGGAGAAGACTCTCGAGAGTGCCTTGGACTGCAAGGAGATCTGACCAGTCAATCCTCAAGGAAATCGGTCCTGAAAATTCACTGGAAGGACTGATGCTGAAGCTGAAGCTCCAACACTTTGGCGACCTGATGTGAAGAACTGACTCATTGAAAAAGACCCTGATGCTGGGAAAGATTGAAGGCAGGAGGAGAAGGGGACGATAGAGGATGAGATGGTTGGATGGCATCACTGACTCAATGGACATGAGTTTAAGTAAGCTCCAGGAGTTGGTGATGGACAGGGAAGCCTGGCGTGCTGCAGTCCAAGGGGCCACAAAGAGTTGGACATAACTGAGCGACTGAATTGACTGAGACTGCTTATGCACACTGTCTGTTAACTGATTTCCCTTCCTCTCCAATGGCCTCCTGCTCCAAATCTGTTGTCACACTGCAAACAGATTCATCTTTCTGTAAATGTAGCTCTGATTATGATATTCACCTCCTCAAAAACCTTTCTATCTCCCATCACAGTGAATGTAAACATAATAGACATCCCTTCCTACCACTGCTACTTTTTCTCTCTTGATTCTATTTCTTACACTCTCTAGTCTGTCCAGCCTGAATCACACAACATTCCTAATGTAAACCATATTGTCCCATTTCTCAGATACGTTTCCTTTTTTACACACTGCTCCTTCAGTCTGGATTGCTTTCACACACACTCCTGCACCTCTGGCTGTGTATTCATTCCTACTTCCCCAAAACTTGTAGAAGAGCATGGCATCCCACTTGAGCATTCTTGCTTGGAGAATTCCATGAACCAAGAAACCTGGCAGGCTATAGTTCACGAGATCGCAAGGAGTTGGACATGGCTGAGAGATCACTACTATTACTACTACTCCCCAAAACCAAAACCCAAGCTCTGGAGGCCAGCTTCTCTTTAATAGCATTTCAGCAACCTATACATGCTGCATCCACCTCACTAGATTGTAAATACTAATAGCCATTTTGTGGCAATAGCCATAAAAATATTATATATGTATGCTTAGTTGCTCAGTTGTGTCCAACTCTTTGGAACCCCATGGACTATAGCCTTTCAGGCTCCTCTGTTCATGGAATTCTCCAGGCAAGAATATTGGAGTGGATAGCTGTTCCCTTCTCCAGGGGATCTTCTCGACTCAGGGATCAAACCCTAGTCTCTTGCATTACAGGCAGATTCTTTACCATCTGAGCCACCAGGGAAGCCCCTATAAGTGTGTTAAACATTCCATAATGATTTAATAACACTAAATTGAATTGGTCTGGAAGTAAGCCTTTAAATAACATTTGCATTTCTAATAACACTTAAAACTTCCAAATTGCAAATGTAAATGACTTTGGCAAGGGTAATTAGGTAAAGGGAAATGAATAATCAATGAGAAAGTAGCTATTGATAAGGTGGATATATAAAAATTATTAGTTAGAAACCAATAGCCATCTTCTATAAAGGAACAGCTAGTGAAAATATACAATGGAAGAAAAAATGTACTTATATATATGTAATTTCTACCACACACACGTACACATACAGCTAGATAAAATATCTAAGGAGAAATTAACAAGAAATAAGCAAGATTGATATTATTAAAAATTCCAAACAATGCTATCAGGATATAAAATAAGAGCTGGTGAAAATTAAAATCATGCTCTATGCCTAAATAAAGAGATTCAATAAAACTGTCAATTATTTCTGTGATAGTTTAGAACTGTATTGATATTGTAATAAGGCTAAATTCAATTTTTTTTGTTCTTTCTCCTTTTCTTCCTTTTTAAAAAGGAGTTAGGTAAGATGTTTCTAAAGTGCAATGAAAAAAAGAAAATTATCTTGGAAAATTCTAAACAAGAAGAAAAAGGAGGGCAAAACTATCTCTCAAATATTAAAGCATGTTATTAATCCATAATTTTTAAAAAATAAGATACTGGACCATTGTAGGTATAGATAAATATTCTTCAGATATAGGCCTAAATATATGTTGGTGTTTAGTATGATCAAGTTGACATT